TATTAGTAGAAGACCAAATTCAGCAATACATTAAACAGATCACACACTATGATCAAGTGGGATTTATTACTGGGATGCAATGTTGGTTCAATATTTGCAAATCAAAGTAATTCTCCACATAAACAAAATGAAAAGTAAAAGGTTATGTGATAATATAAATAAATGTGGAAAGCATTTGACAATATCCAGTATTAACTTATGATAAAAAGTCTCAGGAAAGAGGAAATGTATTTCAACATAATAAAAGCCATACATGACAAACCCACAGCTAATACCATACTCAGTGGGAAAAAGCTAAAAGGATTTGTTTTGAGATCAGGAACAAGACAAAGATGTCCACTTTCACCACTTTTATTCATAATACTGGAAGTCCTAAGCACAGCAATCAGAGAAGAAAAAGAAAGAAAAGTAATCCAAATTAAAAAGCAAGAAGTAAAACTGCCATTACTTGCAGATGGCATGATACTATATAAAGAGGGCCCTAAAAATTCCCACCCAAAATTATTAGAACTGATAAATGAATCCAGTAAAGAAGCAGGATATAAAATTAATATCCAGAAATTTGTTGCATTTTTATACACCAATAATGAACTATCAGAAAATGAAATTAAAAAAAATCCCATTCTATTACATGAAGAAATATCTAGGAATAAATTTAACCAAGGAGGTAAAAGATCTGTACTCAGAAAAGTATAAGACATTAAGGAAAGAAACCGAAGAAGATACAAATAAATGAAAGCATATTTTATGTTCATGGATAGAAAGAATTAACATCATTAAAATGTTTGTACTACCCAAAGCCAACTATTGATTCAATACAATTTCTATCAAAATACCAATGGCATTTTCCACAGATCTAAAAGAAAATAATCCTGAAATATATATATGAACAAAGAGACACAGCAATCTTGAGAAAGGACAAAGTTTGAGGTATCATGCTATCTGATATCAACCTACACCACAAGCCTATAGAATCATAATAGCATGGTACTGGCATAAAAACAGAACATAGGTCAATGGATCAGAGTATAGAGCTCAGAATTAAAACCATGCCTACATGTGGGTAAAGAAAATCTCTTCAATACGTAGTGTTAAGAAAACTGGATATCAACCTTAAAAACATTAATTGAGACCACTTTCTTATACCACACACACACACACACAACTCAAAGTGGATTAAAAACTTAAATATAAACCCCAAACCATAGAAATCCTAGTAAAATATAGGCAATCAGCTCTTCGATATTTCTCTTGGTAACCTTTTTTTATCTATCTTCTTGGACAAAAAAAAAAGCAAAAGAAAAATAAACAAATGGGATGACATTACACTAAAAAGGTTTTTCACAGCAAAAGAAACCTTCACAAAATGAAAAGACTACCTAGTAAATGGTAGAAGACATTTGTCAAATACATTCAATAAGGGATGATTATCTAAAATATTATCTAAAATATATGAAGAACTTGAACAACTTAACTTCAAAAAACTCTAATTAAAAAATGTGCAAAGGACCTGAATAGACATTTCTCCAAAAAGGATATATAGATGGTCAATAGACATATGAAAAGATGCTCAACATCACTAATTACCAGAGAGATGCAAATTAAAACCACCATGACAAAACCCCAGCACCATCCTTACACCTGTCAGAACGGCTATTATCAATAAACAGGTGCTGGAGAGAATGTGGAGAAAAGGGAATCCTCATACACTGTTGATGGGATTGAAGATTAATACAGCCACTATGGAAAAGAATATAAATTTTCCTCAAAAAATTAAAAAATAGAACTACCTTATGATCTAGCAATTCCACTTCTGGGGGGGGCAAGGGGGCTGGGGTTAATAATATAAAGGATTAAGAAGTGCAAATTAGTAGTTACAAAATAGTCATGGAATGTAAAGCACAGCATACAGAATATAGTCACTAATATTGTAGTAACTGTGTATCATGTCAGGTGGGTTCTAGACTTATCAGAGATCCACTTTGAAGGTTAAATAAATTTTTAATAACTATGTGGCACACCTAAAACTAACGTAATATTGAATGTCAACTGCAATTGAAATAGAAAAATAATTAAAAAATTTAAATTTACAAATTAGTTATAGTAAAAATGAACAATAAGTGACAACAAAATAGAGCAATTATAACAATATAATGTAATAACTGAGATGGCTACTAAGTGACTAATGAGCTGGTGGCATGGGAGATTCCATCATGTTACTTAGGAAGGTATACAATTTAAAACTTGTAAATTATTTATTTCTGGAAGTTTTCATTTAATATTTTTAGATTGTGTCTCACTGTTGGTAACTGTAACCATGGAAAGTGAAACTGCGAATAAGGGGGATTACCATATAGGAAAAAAACATAGTTTATATAGGATTTGTCCCTATCTGCAATTTCAAGTATCCACTTGTTCCTTATTTCCCATGGACATTGGGGGACCAGTGTACTAGGAGGCAGTACTTGACATGATCTTAGACGGTAAACTTCAAAGTAATTTATCTCAATCTTCCCATTTACTGCAAAAAGATAGTTCACATATATATTTTAGTTCTCCTCACCATTTGGTAATCAGTCTTTTCAAGGTAGTAAGAGGAGTCCTTGGGCTTTGAGGAGTGCAGTTTCAGGCTAAAACGTTAGGTGTGACATCTCTGACTCAACCATAGGCGGTGACGAGGCATCTTGGTAGACCTCTGGGAAAGGCTGCCCTCCCCACACCAGACTTGGCACACAAGCAGTGTACTATATTTTTCTTGAGGGAGTTGCTGTCACACTCAATGACTAACCCCCATGTTCATGAGCATGTCTGTCTGCAGTCCTGTCCCAGGCACCTTTGTTTGAAAGCTTTCTTATTAGGGGAGGGAGAGGAAGCTGCGTCTCCACTCCTCCCTCTTTTCCTTCTCATCCCTCACCCCCTGGCTGAGGGGTCCATAAAATTTAAGGAGCCCTGAGATGAGTGCTGCTTTTCTGCTACAGTCACTTGATTCCTGCCCGGCACTCCTTGGTGTGTAAAAAGTAAATATTGCACACCAAGGAGCCGGAGCTTCTTTTTTTCTCTTTTGCTTGTACAATTGCAGGACATAAATAAAGCATATAAATTTAAAAAAAATTGGATTTATTGGGTGGATATTGTTCACAAAACGACTCAGGTTTCAAATGTAAAACTCAATAAAACATCATTTGCACACTGCATCATGTGCCCATTGACCCAAAGTGTCTTTCTGTCCCCATTTATCCCCTTTGCCCATCTCCACCTATCTCCACCCTCCCCCTTTCCCTCTAGCTGTCACCACACTGTTGTCTGTGTCTTTGTGTTATGTATATGCACATTTTTGTTTAATCCTTTCATCTTCTTTCATCCAGTCCTCCAAACCCTTCCCCTCTGACAGCTATCAGTTTCTGTGTCCATGCCTCTGTTTCTATTTTGTTTGTTAGTTTATTTTGTTCATTAGATTCCATGTATGAGTGAGGTCATATGCTATTTGTCTTTCTCTGACTGGCTTATTTCACTTAGCATAATAATCTCTAGTTCTATCCATGCTGTCACAAAAATTATGACATGCTGTTATAAATTTTTTAAGGTTGAGTACTATTCCATTTAGTAAATGTGACACAGCATCCCATGTTCACTGCAGTGCTATTGACAATATCCAAGATCAGAAAACACCCCAAGTGCCTATCAGTAGATGAGTAGATGAAAAAGCTGTGGTATATGAATAAAGACTTGATTATTATTTTCATTTTGTCTGCTTGTTCTAATTGAGCACTTCCACACCTGATTGTTCAACAGGGTGGAATTGGCAACAAGGCAACACTTAGCTTGAAGTGAGTATCATTTTATTCTTATTGTATTATCTTTACCCTAACCCAATACCCTCTATCATGGCAATTGGCACAGGGTTTCCCTTTCTGATATAAAAGTTCCTGCTTTAGTGAAATTAAGAGAACAAAAGTGAGTGACTTACTTGGAAATATTAAGTAAAGAGTGAATAAAGTATAGTATTAAGGGGAAATTGTGTATACTGAAATAGAGTGACTGAGTTTGGGGAAAACTGGTATAACTCAGTGCTTGTGGGGAATTATTTGGCCTTCCAAGAACATTATGACCAAAATACCCATACTGTTTTGTGCTGGTAAGTGTTGTAGATCACTCTGCCTGGTTCTAGGAATTGTATCTCAACCCCTTGTGGCTAAGGGCAAGGGATGACCTTTGGAATGTGAGCCACAGGAGACAAAGCTTATCTCTGGTAGCAAACGCTGCCTCAAGTTTCCTTTCCCTGCCCCCAAAGTTTGGTCAGAAGTCAATGAAGGGTAAGACCCCTCATAGTGAGGGGGGAGGACCTAAGACAGACTCGAACACTTGGGAGGCCTTCATGGAAGGACTTGGGGGGTTGCAACAAAGAGGGAGCAATGGACTTTGGCCTCCCCACCCTTTGACATAGCCTGAGTCTCCATGTTCTCTGGGAGAAGCGCTTCCTGGCTCTAATCCCCTTAAGCCTGAATACCCGATGGGGAGAGGTACAGCTCCTTTTCTTGCTAGAGCATATCCTGGGGAAAAAATCTGGCATCACAAAGACTCACTGATAAACCTGCTAAGAGTGCTTTCATTCATATGTTAAGGGTTGGAACAAGAAACCCTAAAACTCTGTTCCCGACAGACTGACTCATACTAAGATTTCTTTGAAATGTTATCTGCTGTTTGAGCCTTGCCACCCTGTATTCCTGTGTATTACAACCCAATAAAAGGCCCTGGAGGAGGGTTCTCGAGGCCTTTTTCTCCTCAGAGAAACTGGCTGCCACTGGCCTTTTCCTCCTAAGAAACTGGCCACTGCTCACGGCCTTTTTCCTCTGGAAAAATGGCCACTTCTCCTCCCCAAGCAGATCACATCATGTCTTGGTCATATTTACTCTCACCTGTGGCACTTGGGGGGACTTGCAAGGAAAGTCGCCCCCACAGGTAAGCATATATCTACTGAATGATAGCAAGAACACACTTACATCCCGTATTGCTTCATAGAGTGCTTTGAAAGTCGGCTGCTTATCATCATGATAGACACCTCGGTTCCCATGCAGAACAGATACACCTTCAAGCTCAGCCCCTCTGCAGTTGCTTCCATACATGCAGTGATCAGGACGGTAGTTCCACTGGCAGGGGAACACATAGAGACACTCTGGTGGTGGTGACAAGAGAAAAACGTGTTCACAGTCAGTGCCAGCTCTCCTCTGTACTCCTGGCAATTAAACCAAAGTTTACATAAACTGCTCATAACACATGATTTAAATGTACATGTGTGATTATGACTCATAGGCCAAATTTCACATTTGTTAATACCCTGAGATTAGGGCACACATTAGTGATATTGTAGGTTTCACCCATCTCCCCTTGCCACAAAAAAGGAGAGCAGGGGACAAGAAGGCAAACAAGGAAATCAGACACCCCTTGTTCAGACAGTTTGACTGGATCCCAGATCTCCCACTCAAATACAGTGAATCCTAGGTCCAGTGACTTAATTGCCTTGTACTTCAGTTTCTTTGTATGTAATATGGGAATAACAGCATCTCCCTCTTATTTTGATGATTAAACTTAAAGAAAAAACATGGGCAATGCTCAGCAGGGTGCTAAGCACACAGTTGTAGTCAGTAGTGTTAGCAGATAGAATTAACTCTTCAGAAAGACTTTTGTGAAATGGACAGAATCAAAAAAATAGGAGTCAAGATTAAAGAAAAAAATTCCTCTTAGGATTAAAAACCAACTAACCAACCAACATAGAAAAAAACATTCAAATAAATAAACAAACAAGAAAAAAACTATAACAGTAAAGAAAAAATCCAAAGAAAGAAGCAAAGCCCAAAAATAGTCCCTATGCCAAGGTGACTATATACACTGTGGGTAGACATGTATACATGTGTTCTCATGGGTGTTTATATCTCTAATCCAGTGGTACTTAGCAGGGGTGAAATTACCCCCTCCCCTGGGGCCAGATGGCAATGTTTGGAGGGAGGCATTGGTTGTCATACATGAGAGAGGCTGCAATTAACATCTGGTGGATGGAGAACAGGGATGCTCCAAACATCCCACAATGAACAGGACAGTCCCTGCAGTAGTAGCAGTACCAAGTGAAGAAACTTTGCTATAATGCTGTTGAACTCAGAAAAACTCCTCTTGGTTACTAGGATTATACAATTAGCAATAATTCATGACTGTCCAGCTTCCTGGCCCTTCAGCTTGATGATTTTAAGGGCAGAGGAACATGGATCAGAATTCTCTGTGAATGTGTGTTACTGATCATGAGAAAGGTCCATGTGAGTGAACAGAAGCATTAGAACAAATAAATTAGCACTGTCAGAAGAGGGATAATGGGAGAAAATAGGGGAAGGAACATGGAAAAGCCAAGGCAGGTAGGTTCGAGGGTGGGAGGCAGGAATCAGCAGGGCAGCAGGTGTAGTGAGGTGAAAATGGAGACAATTATACTTGAACAACAATTAAAAAAATAGAAAAGCAATCTAAAGATGTGCTTGTTGGTTGGGTTGACAACATTCCCTTCTCACGGAAAGTATCACTGCTTAGAGAGTACTTACAGAAAGCTTTAAGATGAAAGCAAAGAATGAAGAGACCATTACACATTCCCTCTGGCAGGCCGTGTATAGTATTTATATCACTCAGTCTTAAGATAGGCCTCATAACATCCAGGCACCCTCTATTTAATTCCTAATTTTTCACAACATACTCAGAGATTTTCCTTTCCTGTGAAGATCTACATACTACCATTATGTTTCTCTTACTTGCATTCACCTTCACGGTGAATGAAATGGGAGTATGTGTATGCGTTTTGGTGTGTGCTTCCCTGGGTCCAACATTTTTGGGACTCTGAGTTTCTTGGACTTCCTGGATATCTATTTCCTTTATCAGATTAGGGAAGTTCTTCTTCATTATATTTTGGGGTTTTTTTCTAAATTTTTTATTTTAATTACAGTACAGTAATTAAAATATAGTTCACGGTTCAGAAATGGGAGAAAAAAGTGCTCATCCTGAAGCCACATCATCTAGATTTATTTCCCAATTCTATTATCTATTTGACTTTTCTGCACTTCAGTGCAAAGGGTGGGTGTCAATATTATATGAGTGAAGATATCTTGAAGTGCTTTTTTTGTACTGTGCTTTACTCCAGCGCAACTGTTTCCTTTTATAACTCAATGACTCATGTTACTAATTTATAATACCTGCCTGGGCATTGCATTTATAGTGCCTGCTTAAGCCCCTGCTAATTTTTCTTGCTGAATGAGTTGACAAACAAAGTTTTATTGAGTACCTGCTATATCTGCAGTTTCTGCCTTCATGAAGTTTAAGATTGGTGCTGAAATTTTTTTCCCCTTTCCCAAGTAGTACAGGACCCACTACAAAAGGAAATCTTTTTTTTCCTTTATGAAGGGAGAAAAAGAACTGAGCCTTGTGAAGGCACTCTGAGGCAGAGATGAAACAGAAAGACTTTGGAATCAGACAGATGTATGTTCAAAGTTGGCTTCTACCATCTCTTAGTTCTATAACCATGATAAGTTACTGAATTTCTTGACCTCAATTTAGAAATGAAAAAGAGAAGCTAAATTATCCTGGATTGAATCCCAACTTTATCATGTGTTAGCTGTGACCTAATAGCTAGCTGTGACCTAATAGTTGTTAGCTGTGACTTAACAGCTAGCAAATAGAGCATGCCATGGAGTTGACACACTGGGTTTAAATACAGAACTCTACCACTAGTTGTATGAACTCAAGCAAATTATGTAATGTGTCTGCACCTCAGTTTCATCATCTGTGAAAGGGAGAGAATTATAAATATTTGTTCAATAGTATTTTGGGGAGTATTATGAGGTCTACCTGGAAAAAGTCCAGCCATTGTTAATATAATGAGTATGGTTTGCATGACATTGACGTTATCTGGCTGCCAAGGAGAGTGGACTGGAATGCCCATGTGTGAACAATGATGACTTCACTGTACTAGTCAGTGGGATATGTAGAGCCATTGAGCAAGCATGTGACTATGTGGCCAGTACATTAAAAATGACTGAGCAGAGAAATGAATCTGCATCAAATTTTGTGTTAAGGTTGAATGTTTCTCCATGTAAACTATTAGGATAATTCAGAAGGTTGCAACTATGGGCAACTGGTAATTGGCAGCTTCATCACAAACAACACCCACTTGTGCATCACGTCTCATGCAGAGCTTTTTGGCTAAACATCAAATCACCCAGGTGTCTCCATTCATCCACAGTTCCCACCCTCCATCCTATGAACATTGGGGTGCATAGCCAAGTGCTGGAAGCAACCTAAGTGTCCATCAGTAAATGAGTGGATAAAAAAACTGTGATACATTTACACGATGGAATACTATGCAGCAGAAAGGAAGAAGGAGCTTCCCTAATCTGGAAGGAGCTTCCCATATAATGAAGAAGAACTTCCCTAATCTGATAAAGGAAATAGATATCCAGGAAGTCCAAGAAACTCAGAGTCCCAAAAATGTTGGACCCAGGGAAGCACACACCAAAACACATCATAATTACATTTCCCAAGATTAAAGATAAAAGAGGAAATCTTAAAAGCAGCAATAGAAAGGGAGACAGTTACCTCCAAAGGAGTTCCCATTAGATTATCACCTGATTTCTCAAAAGAAACCATCTGGGCAAGAAGGGGCTGGAAAGAAGTACTCAGTCACTGAAGTCAAGGACCTACATCCAAGAGTACTCTATCCATCAAAGCTATCATTTACAATGGAAGGGCAGATAAAGTGCTTCCCAGATAAGGTCAAGTTAAAGGAGTTCATCATCACCAAGCTTTTATTATATGAAATGTTAAAGGAAGTTTCCTAAGAAAAAGAAGATAATGAAAACTCTGAACACTAAAATGACAATGAATTCACAACTTTCAACAACTGAACATAAAAAAAGGAACTGTGCAAACAACTAGAACAAGTTTAGAATCACAAAAATGGAGATCACATGGAGGATTATCGGTGGGGAGGGGGTCTGGGGAGACTGGGGTAAAGGCACAGGGAATAAAAAGCATAAATAGTAGGTACAAAATAGACAGGTGGAGGTTAAGAACAGTATGGAAAATGGAGAAGCCAAACAACTTATCTGTATCACCCATGAACATGAACCAAGTTGGGGGGAATGATGGTGGGAGGGAGGGTACAGGGTGGAAAGAAATACAGGAGAGAAGAGAATGGGACAAGTGTAATAGCATAATCAATAAAGTATAGTTTTTATAAAAGAAGAGGCTAGTTCAAAGAGACTAGGAAAGTGTAGAAGGTTTGTAAAGGGAAATCTTGAGAAGAAATTTTACATATGGTTAAGCTGAATAATACTGAAATAAATTTAATTAATTTAAATATTAAAAGTAAGCTGACATAGAATTAGAGTTTGATTCTTTTTTACTCTGTTCAAAAGAAAAAGTTTTTTTTCTGTATTTATTCTACTCCAGAGAAGATAGTAAAAATTTTTTCTAACTAGAAAGCAAACATTCTATGTTTTATGAAAATATTCTGTGTCTGTCCTGGTGGTTGTGGCTCAGTGAATTGAGCACCAGCCTGTTAAGCAAAAGGTCACCAGTTCAATTCCCAGTCTGGGTACATACCTGGGTTGTGGGCCAGGTCCCAGTTAGGGGCATGTGAGAGGCAACAGATTATCTCTCACACATCAGTGTTTCTCTCCCTCTCTTTCTCATTCCCTGCCCCTGTCTTTAAATATAAATAAAATCTTTAAAAAATAGTTTGGTGTCTGTTATATTGTTTTTTGAATTCAGCCTTCCTTCCTTCCTTCCTTCCTTCCTTCCTTCCTTCCTTCCTTCCTTCCTTCCTTCCTTCCTTCCTTCCTTCCCTCCTTCCTTTCTTCTTTCTTCTCTCTTTCTCTCTTTCTGTCTCTCTCTCTCTCTCTCCCTCCCTCCCTCCCTCCCTCCCTCCCTCCCTCCCTCCCTTCCTTCTCTCATTCCTTCCTCCCTCCCTTCCTTCCTTCCCATTGAACTTATTGGAGTGACACAGGCCAAAAACATTATACATGTTTCAGGTATACTTCTACAACACATCATCTCTAAACAGTATTGTGTGTTCAGCACCCCATGTCAAGTCTGTATCTATTACCATTTACACCCCACACCCATACTCCCCTCCCCTGTCCCCCA